AGAAGGGATACACATGTCAATGCAATTCAGCAACATAAAATAAAGAAATTCAAATAAAACAAATCAACTAGAATCGGCAAAGCATCTCTGATTAGATTTTATTCACTACTAGAATCTAATCAAGATGCTTTGCCAATTCTAGTCCAATGATCTGCTCCAGCAGGGTTGGAAGGGAGTATGTGTATATGTGCGTGCATGGCTGTCAAAACTCCAAAAACAGGTCGAGTAGTTGTGGGGAGGCCAGTCATAAATTAGAACACTTGCTAAGCAACCGGCCATTAAGTGAGGACCACTTGTATTTGGTTTGCCAGTCACCAAACCACACCCACCCAGTCATGTGACCAGCAAGCAACACCCCCAAATTAGGCCACGCCCACAGAAATTTGAATCCCGCTCCTGGGTGGGGGGCATTGAGGATGAGTTTGTAGCACCAAGGGGGCAGTGGACTGAAAAAGTTTGGGAACCACTGCTATAGAGCGACAAAGGCCCTCCAACAATTTCGTAAAGGTTGCAGGTTTGATCTCAAGCCTCTGACACACAGCTGCTCCGAGGATAAAAGTTTCACTACTGGATTTCTCTCTTCGTTTGGGGCTCTTAGAGCCTATACAGCAACAAAGGCCCTCTAACAATTTCTCCTCGTGCAGGCAGCCATTTATTACCTCAGCAGAAAGCATGAGGCTGGTGGCCATTTTAATTGGCCAGAAGCGTCGGTTTGTCTTATTCTATGGCAATATTTCTGAGAAAACTATCAGTGAGATCAAGGGACACATATTGAGGGTTGCTTCCAGCACCTCTTGTGTACCCCTGGTTTGATCATGGAGGCCTTCAAGCAGACAGAAGCCTCTGGATTAGAGGCACACACACTCCTGGCCCAGAAGAAGAAGAAAAAAAGGAAGAGTCAGGATGGCCAGTCAGCTCAAAGGGAAGCAGTGGCAAAAATCAGGGCCAAAGCCTTCGCTCCAAAGAAAGTTTCCCAAGCTGAACTAAAGGCTGAAAAAAGGAGGCATGCTGTGCTCGAGAGACAGTTTGCTAAAACTCTGGACCAAATGAGGGGACGTTTGCAGCAGGCTTCCCTTCCAATGGAACCACAGGTTGGCCAAATTGTGCGGCCCAGGGAACAGGGAGTCCATTCTTCTTCCTTCTCCTATACCCAAACCTGGTCTCCTATGGTAACAGAGGAGGAAGGAGGTCCCCAAGACCTTAGCAAATCAGGACCCCATTTTCTTCAGGCCCCTACAATTCCATCTCCCAACCAGACCACTCAGGGTAGCATTAGACATAGGCCCGAAGCTACCTTCACCCCCCGCTGCTGGCCTACGTCCTGGAGAAGCCCACTCAGGCAGTGGTTCCTCTGACATTTCCCTAGTAGTCTCTTCTGCCATTCAATGAGGATTAGCACAGGGCTTACAACAGCTCTTTCGGCCTCTGGGGGTTGAAGATTGGTTCCCCAATCCCTCTTTAGGGGCCTCTCCTAAACACAAGGAATACCCTAGACCTCAGGAGGTTGGTAGGCCCTCTACTCAATCTGATTGGAGGGGATTATGGGGAAAGGGATTACTCACTCCCCTCAGAGCATAGCCACTCCTCCAGGTCAGAGGAGGAAGAGGGTGAGATCAGAGATCAATATATGTCTGAGGCAGAAAGTTTCCTCCAGGACCAGCCCCCCCTCAATGGAGGTCTTTAAGCCAGCCTTATTTAAACCCCCTATTACAGAAGGTCTTGGTCACTGCCCAATTGACCCTGGAGGAGGTGGCACCTGAACCCCAGAGGGATCTTTCAACCCAAGGGGATACTCTTTTCTCTAAACCTGTGGTCCACACAGAGGTTTTTCCTTCTCTGTTATTTTTGGACCTTGTTAAAGAACAGTGTGCCACCCCTGCTGCTTCATCACACGATCGGCATTTCTACAATGTAGGACCAGCCTTGGCCTCTACTCTTGTGGTCCCTTCGGAGGAGGAGGAGTGGTCTCCTCCTTCTCTGGCACCCCCACCGAACCAGAGGACATGTCAAGTCTGAGGACAAAAGATCAGAGCAAATGCTCAAATGTAACCATCAGGCCTCAGCTTAGGCTGTCCAAGCATCAACAGCAGGGTCATTTTTTACCAGAGCCTCACTCCCCTGGCTGCATCAGTTACAGGAGCGCCTTCCTCCGTCTGATTTTAGATCTCAACAAAATTATTGCAGCGGCTGAATTTACGGCGGATGCCACTCTGAATTCAGCAAAATTTGCCTCCAGAGCCATGGCCTCTCGATCACAGCTAAACGACTACTTTGGCTCTGGAACTGGCAATCCGAATCACGCTATAAGTGGAAGCTGGCATCGGCTCCTTATGCGGGTGAGGCTCTGGATCCATATTTGATCGAGACCAGGGATAAGAGGAAGGTCCTCTCCTCGACAGGTAAGAAAGCGGATTACCGCCCAACCCCTTATTTCCATCCCTCATCTTTCCGGGCCGAACCCTCCCCTTGCTTCCCCCGTCATCAGAGGGCCTTCCCTCAACACCAGGAGCAGTGCCCTGAGGTGAATAACCGACAACAGCACCAATATAAGGGTAGATGGTCCTTTCGAGGAGGAGGGGGCCGTGCCTTCCGAAGCTCCAAGTGAACGCCTGTTCCCCCCTCCCATTGGAGGTCATCTGGCCTTCTTTATCACCAGATGGGAGGAGTCTACATTGGATGCCTGGGTCCTCAATACAATCAGATCGAGTCTGCAACTAGAATTCCTTTCACCTCCTCCAGAGCATTTTGTGACTTGCCCCATATCACGGGATGATGCCAAAAGGGCCCTAATGGAATTGGCCATCCAGCATCTTGTCAATATTAGGGCTATTCAACCAGTTCCTGTGCACCAGCAAGGGTGAGGGTTTTATTCCAGTTTTTTTGTGGTTCCAAAGGCATCGGGGGGGTGGGGGTGGCATGCCATCCTAGATCTGAATTTTTAAACAGGTTCATCCCATACAGGTGTTTCAAAATGCAGACCTTACATTCCATCCTAGAGAGCATTCAGGAGGGCGACCTCCTCTCTTCCATAAACCTTACGGAGGCCTACTTCCCCATTCCTATCTGGCATCATCACCGCCAGTTTCTTCATTTTTCCTATCAGTACAGGCATTCCAGTACCGGACCCTTCCTTTCGGGCTGTCGGCTCCCAGAATTTTCACCAAAGTACTGGCATTGGTGGCTACCCTTCGGGCAGTTCCTGTCAGACTTCAATGTTACCTGGACGACATCTTAATCCAGTCCACATCACACTGATCTGCCCTACAATCTCCCCTTGGCTCATAGTCTGCTGGGAAAGATGCTCTCTTGCGTTGGTATCATCCTGTGGGCAAGACTGCACTCACTGACTCTTCAGTGGTTCCTGCTCCTCTTTCAAAGAGCAGGCACCAGCAACTCTTGCTCCAGGATGCAGATCCTCCCACAGGTTCTGCGCTCGTTTCCGCTGGTGGCAGTCTGTGGTGCTTTGGAGGGGGCATCCGTTCAAAGAGCTGGACATATTGCTGATCACAACAGATGCCAGCTTCCAGGGCTGGGGGGCCGTGCTGGATAGCGAGATGGCCCAGGGACGTTGATCATTGGCAGAGGGGTCTTGTCCGATAAACTGGTTGGAACTCAGGGCTATCTTTCTGGCCCTCAAACACTTCCGTTCAAGGGTGACGGGGCCATGTACTGGTGATGACAGACAATATGGCCGCAAAGGCACATGTCAACAGACGGGGGAACAAAGTCTAGGGCCTTGATGAGGGAAGCCGAATGCCTAGGGCGTTGGGTAGAGAGGAATCTTCTGTCCATCAGGGTGGATCACATATCTGGGGTCGACAACTCTCAGGCTGATTGGCTGAGTCGGAGTGTGGTCGACCATGCGGAGTGGAGCCTCCACCCCTCTCTGTTCAGGGAACTACCCATCAGGTTCAGACCTGTTTGCATCTCCCCTGAATGCTCAGGTAACCAGATAGTTCACTCAGATTCTACACTCAGGGAGGGAGCCAATGCGCTTCGGAGCAGATGGCCCCCAGGTCTCCTCTACGCCTTCCCCCCTTCCGATCATTCTGGCGGTCATTCGAAAGATGTTGGAGGAGAAGACGGAGCTGATTCTCCCGGCACCTCATTGGCCCAGGAGACCCTGGTTTGTGGATCTGGTGAATCTATCGGTTGCCCACCTTTGGAGAATCCCAGACCACAGGGTCTCACTTCTCCAGGGACCCCTGGTTCATCCGGAGCCACAATGATTCCACCTAACCGTGTGGCGCTTGAGTGGCAATACATGAGAGATTCGAACATTCCGGATCGAGTCATCCTCACTGTTCATACCTCATGTAAGCCTTCCACAACGCACATTTACGATGCCACATGGAAGGTTTTCTACCAGTGGTGCCAGAAGGCGGACCGGGTTCTCACCACAGCAACTGTAGCTGATGGTCTAATGTTCTTTCAGGTTGGGTTGGATATGGGGCTTTCACCCAATACTCTCCACCGCCAGGTGGCGGCCTTATCTTGGCGTGCCCGGAGAGATGGCTCTGCATGCTACTTCTGGCATGCATGGCATAGGTTCACCATCACGGTAAATGGGAGGGGAAGAATGGTTGGACCAGATGGCTGAGTATGTTTAAGGCCTCTCCCCCCCTCCCCAATTCTGAAAAAAAAAAAAAAACCCTTGGGGACTAGTTTGCAGACTGTGTATTGGCTGTATCTGAAATCATTGCTGTAGTTGACTCAGAATTCATGTATTTAGCATGGCAGGTATAGCATTTTAGTGCATGATTAATAGAATGTTCAATGAATGAACAATGAAATATAGAAAAATACCGTCATATTTTAGGAAGTTTCTGTGCATAGGAAATGATGTTATGGATCGGGTGTCCAAATGTGCCTTGTCTCAGGTTTGGTCTACTTTTTCATGTGTTAAACTTAGTTTGCAACTCTTACCATTTTTCAGAATAAAAATGGAAGGTAATATTATTTATTAATGCTAACGTAAAAATGTCTGCTTTATTTTTCAGGTGCCATGTTTCAGGACATAGTGGGAGTATTGGGAAAGAAGAACTAAAGATACAACATAACTTGAGATACAGGCTAAGTGGAAAAAAATTAACCTGTCTCTGAGGTGACTAAAGGGGAATAATGGTGATTTTGCGCCGGGCTCGGCCGCCTGCTTCCGCCCCAACCAGCAATGAATCTTGACTCGCTCTCGCTGGCCTTGTCTCAAATCAGCTACCTGGTGGACAATTTAACTAAGAAAAACTACCGAGCCAGCCAGCAGGAAATACAGCATGTAAGTGAGGAGCGTCGCACTACTTTGAAATTGTGATGGAAAGAAGATAAGCTTATTCTCAGCTAATTTTGTATCACTGCTTTTCATACTACTTGAATTTCTTCATATAACAAAAATGGATCTTACTGTAATCCATTTGCTGAAAGCTGTGTTTCATCTGGTGACATCGACAGTTTGCTGTCTCCAGATTAGTATCCAAATTGTGTTAGATGGCTTGGACTAAGTTCATTTACCACTTATTAAAATTCCTGTGCTTAATTTTGTTTGCTGTCAGAAGTGTCAGAAGTGCTGAGTCAAGAGAGTCCATGCCAATAATTGCTTTGCCCCTTTTTTTTCTTTGAGAGTAAGAGTAGATCCACCCCATGTTTTTTTGGCCAGTCTGTCTTTATGGATATTTTCCATGTTTGATTGCATTGATACAGCAAACATCTTTGATATTTCTGGATCAGTAGGATGAAGAAAATGTTCTCTGGAATATATTGTTACGCTAAAAAACATGTTTTGTATTTAGCCTTTAAGATAAGTATACAGTTAATTTTTAGTTACACATTTTTGTGAGTACATTTGATATTTTTCAGGTTAAAATGTAACTTTATATTCTAGTACATTCTAGTACAGGAATTGATGCAGGTAATTCAGTTTTTATATAGGCTGCACACAGTTTGAAAGCAAATTGACTCCTTTTCCTGACTTTAATCTTTTTCGACTTGAGGAAGTAGATAAGATTCTGGTTGTTAGCTATACCAGCTCTGTAAATATATGCATGTCTCCCCTAATTGGCTAACTTGGGAGATAATGTGGATGCATCACCTCTTTGAGAGATGGTTCCATTGTCTGTTAAGGAGGCTCCTTCCTTAAGAGGCCATCATGGACACAATAGTACTGGACAATTTATATTGAGTTTCCAACATTTATCTTTGGGGTAAGGTAGTGGAGAAGTTGATTGCACAACAGCTTCAAAGAACTATGGAAGAAGTGGATTAGAGTAGAACCTCTGGTCACGACCACAATTCATTCCATAACTTTGGCGATTTCTTCGTCTTTAGGAATTTCTGGGTCGGGTCGTGTTTGATCGCCACCCGAGTATGTGTTCATGACCAGATTCAAAAATTTTGTGAATTTTTTGGTTGGAACCCGATTTGGTCGTAGTTAGAAGCGTTCGTGACCAGTGGTTCTGTATCTGGATCCCTTTCAGTCAGGGTTCAGGCCCAGGTATGAGATGACACTGATGGCATTCTTGAATGATCTCTGACGAGCAGGACAGGGGAAGTCTTGACCTTGCTCTTGACCTCTCAGCAGCTTTCAATACCACCAGTCATGGTATCCTTGGGGGGGGGGGTGTTTGGTGACACAGTGTTATGCTGTTCTTCCTTTTGAAACTGTTCCAATTGGTAATGATAGGGGAAGGCAGGTCCAGTTTGTGGCCTGTCATTTGGAGTACCACAGTATTTGATGCTCTCTCCTTTCCTGTTGAACATCTACATGAAGGTGAGATCATCCATGGGATCAAAGGGAGAAATAAATAGTGTGCTAATGATATCCAGACATTTTTGTCCCAGACTGTGCAAGTGATGCTATGGAGGTCCTGTTGCTGTCCTGGAGGCTGTGGGGCCTGTATGGGGAACAACAGGCTCAATCCTAGTAAGATTGAATTGCTTTGGGGTTTAGGACTCCCTGCTTCTAGGAATGTTCCACCCAGTGTTTTAAATTCTACTCGGTTCTAGTAAGTTCTACTCAGGCAGATCCTTTGTACATGCATGGAGGTTCTCCTAGTCTTGGGGCTCTTGCTTGAAATACAGGGTGGCAGCCATGATAAAAAGGGACTTTGTACATCTTTGTGCTATGCATCCATTCCTGGATAGGGAAGCCCTGCTCATGGTTATTCACATCTTAGTCATCTCCCTCTTGGATTATTGCAATGCACTGTATCTGGTGCTGCCCTTGGAAAGCAGTTGGAAGTCTGCACTGTGCAGTAACACAGGCAGTTATGAGTGTCAGTCACTTGCTCATGGACACCGTGCTCCATGAGCTGCATTGAGTGTTAGTGTATTTCTAGGTGAAACTTGGAAGTGGGGTGGTGAAAGCCCTTCATGTCTGGGGACCCGCTCTCTCCAGTGATGTCTACCATCCTGTTAGAGCTGGCAGGCAAGGTATGCTCTGACCCTGCCCCCCCAAAATGCCAGCTTGTTGAGCCAGGAAGAGAGCTTGTCTGCCCCCAAACCCATCCACTGGAACATTCTTCCCCCATAAATTAGAGTTGGTCCACTCCTGCTGGCGTTTTGAAAGACATTGGAAATCTGGCTTTGACATAAAGCCTAGGGTCCTGAGAGTTCTTGCCTGCAGAGTTGGTTTAAGTTATATCTTGTTTTCAATGGGATTGTGTCCCCCCCCCCCCCCCCCCCGGTTTTTAACTTCTTGAGCGGCAAAGTCATGTCAGCGGGACAGGTGGCCATATGAATGTAGCACATAAATTCCAAATGCCCTCTGGCAGAACTTAACTTCTGGAAGGATCCTTCTTGAGGACATCAATTAACTTCCAGGGGAAGTTATGGACTTGAGAAGCCTGTATTGCCTTAGCTCCCCATGCCTCTTTAAAAAAAAGCACTACTTTGGGCAGTTTTTCCCAAGATAAAAGTATTGGGGGAATCCTTTTCTGGTGGGAGAAATGGTCCTGCAGATATCTAGGTGCCTAACTAAAGCTTTGATCTTGACTTATATTTTATCTTGAGGACATGTCTATGTGTTTCAGCTTGGCTCTTGAAGCTAATTTGGGGTTATTTTCTGCATCTTAGATTGTGAACCGGCACGGACCTGAAGCAGACAGGCATTTGCTACGCTGTCTCTTTTCTCATGTGGATTTCAGTGGCGATGGTAAAAGTAGCGGTAAAGATTTCCACCAGGTACATTTGTTTGTTTGTTTATTTAATTTATATTGCTGCCTATTTGCCCATGGCGACTCGAGGTGGCTTACACAATGTAAAACCATGTTTAAAACAAAAAAAAAAAAACAATAAAAACTAAGAAAAAGAATCAAATAAATAAAGTACAATAGAACAAAACCTGGAAAAAAAATCACCTCAATTCCCACCCACCCCGCTCCGATGACAGCAGATCACAATAGCCATTTGATGGGCTCCATTCCGCTCTGAGTTCCCACCCTTAGAGAAGGCAGGTTGAAAGCCCTCAGAACTATAAGCCCGGGGAATTCCATCACCAGCCCTGCGGCGAGGTCCAGGAGCCCAGGTAGGGAAGCTACCTTGCAGCAGGGAGCTGGTACAGCAGCAGCAATCCCACTTGAATTGAAGTTGAAGTGAAGTGAAGAATTTTCTATTACTCTCCGTTGCGCTGAATGGAGGATCCAAAGTGTGGGTTGGCTCTGCTTCCTTGCTTGAAGGCTGAGTCAATCAAATGCTTAGTCTTCCTACTTAGTCTTCCTACTGAGCATGCCCAGTTTTGACTTAGTCTTCATGCAAGTAAGATGCGTGGAAAAGGGGCTCTAAAGCATGAAATTTAGAACACGCTTTGGATCAAGAGAAAAAATCCCACAAAAACAGAAATCAAGCTAAATAAGGAACTGTGAGTAACTGTGTTAAAGCTGCCTCCACGAACCATCGGAGCAGCCGTGGGGCGGGTAACAGCTGTTTGGTGCTTTGAAGAAAGCCGCTGCCGCTCCATATGAGCGGGCAGAGGGGCACTCAGCTATCCTGAACAAAGAAGGCTTGCCACATCAAGGGCTAAAACCCACAGGAATGGGAGGAAAAGAAAAGGAGGATCACTGCTCAGTTACCGCTGAGCAAATTCCAAAAGGCAAAAGCATCCAGGACCCACAGCCATTAATTTGGCTCAGAAAGGGAGCCAGGACCCTTAAAAGACCTTGAAGCACAGAGGGCAACAGCACTGATCAGTTTCAGCTGGGCATACTTGCAAACGGCCAGATTCTAAAGGCCTGGCTGCAGGGCTCCACTGTGAGTGGGACAAACTGTCCCACAGCACAAAGGGGACAAACATGCCGGATTTCTCGAAAACGGAGGCAAGTGGGGAGGTCCAAGCCCAGCCAGAGAAAAAAGCTCTGAAGGAGCCAGGGTAGTCAATAAAACAAGTGAAGGAAAAGAAAAACCCTTGCACAAAGTTTCTAAAGCTGATGAAAGGGGGGCTCTAAGGAGGCAGAAAGCCATTGAGAAAAGCTTTGCAAGGGCAGAAAAGGAGGCGGAGAAGAATGAAACTTCCCATGCTCCAGCAAATAGACCAATAGAGATAAAGCAGCAGGAAGGGTTGGCTATCTATCGGGAGGAGCAACTAAGGGAGACAGATTTTTCTGATGAAGAAGAACCGGTGATAGATACCCCAACATTTACGGGTCTATTTCGACCTCAGTTGTTCAAAATGCTGCTAGGCAAAACCAAAGCGGCAACAGGTTTGGGTACTGACCCAGTAACAACAGAGGCACTTCCAGATTTAACAAATCTGAAGGATTTGGTGGGATTCAATTTTTTTTACTATCGGTTCTGTGGGTGTGGCAGGGGAAAGATACTGTGAAATCTCCAGTCAGAGGTGGTATTTGCCGGTTCTCTGAACTACTCAAAATTTCCGCTCCCGGTTCTCCAGAACTGGTCAGAACTTGCTGAATACCACCTCTGATCATTTCTATGCAAGGCCTAAGGTGGACTGTGAGAAACTACCTTCACCTGAATTGTTCAGAGAGGTGACACAAGGACAATTGACCCAATTGGTGTCATTCCCAACACCAGGCAGGAATGAAAAGAAAATTTACAACATGGAATTGGATGAAATATTACAAGCTCCAACAATAGATGGACCAGTGGCAGCTTCAACATCCTCGACCATCTTAGCCAATGAGGCAGAGGATAGCCTGAAGGGGACAAAAGAGCCAAACAGACACCCCAGAAGGTCCACCAAGCAGCTGCATGGGCAGTAAGAGCAACCTCAACTGTGTCCTTTTTCAGCAGGGTGGTCTTGATCTGGCTTCACCAGATGCAGGACAACGTAGTGATCTTTGATCACATCAGGACCTAAATAAAATAATAGCAACAATGGAACTTATAGCAGACACCATTCTCAATGGCGCCAAATATGCTTCCAAGGCTATTACATCATCGTTGGCAGTGAGGCACCTGGTTCGACTCTGCCATTGGTAGGCGGATTTAAAACACAAATGGAGGCTAGCGTCTGCCCCAGTCAAGGAGGACAAGTTATTCGGCGAACGAATTGAATCCCTGCTAGCAGAGACTAAGGACAAAAGAAAGGTTTTGTTTAAAATATAAAGCCAGGCAGACATACGTTCCTCACCTTATACACAAAGGCTGTCTTTTCCGGCCACAGATGTGGGGGCTGGGTACCAACATTCCCAGAGACCATACACACATGGACAGACACGACAACCAGACAGAACCGGGTTTTGAGACAGAGATGGACAGCAGTTTCAGGGAAGACAGCCATTCAGGGGCTCAACCAGCAGGCCCTTTCGCCATACCAAGTAACAACAGGAACCGTGCACTCATCGACGGAAGATTGGGCCAGTTTGTTGACTGATGGGAATCAACAATGACGGACACTTGGGTCCTAAACACAGTAAGATGAGGCCTAACTCTGGAATTCCTCTCCACACCTCCAAACTCCTTCAGAAGACGCCCGATTTCAAGGGACAGATCAAAAAGGAGCATCATGGAGGCAGCAGTTCAACACTTGTTGGACATCCAAGCTGTACAACCAGTCCCACGGGACGAACAGGGGCAAGGGTTCTACTCAATCCTGTTTGTAGTTCAAAAGTCGTGGGTGGGGGTGGAAAGCAATTTTAGATCTCAAAAGACTAAACAGACATATAGAGTACAAGAGATTCAAGATGCAGTCCCTCCAGTCAATTCTGGGGAATATCTGAGAGGGAGATATCCTCAGTGGACCTCACAGGCATATTTACACATCCCGATTATCCAATTCCATGAAAGTTTCTGCATTTTCACTATGCAGGATGACACTACCAATACAAGGCCCTCCTGTTTGAACTATCCTCAGCACCCAGAACATTCACCAAGGTACTGGCAGCGGTAGCGGCACATCTCAGAACAATACCAGTGCATATTCAATGCTACCTGGATGACATATTGATACAGTCCTCCTCCCCCTAAAAGTAAAGGAGGACTTAGAGACTACAATACAAACATTACAAGATCATGGATTTTCCGTGAACTTCGACGAGTCATCTGACTCTGACCAAATGACTGCTACACTTGGGAGCAGTCATAGACACCAACTCCTGCGAAGTTTACCTGTCACAGGAACTCCAGGACAACATAAAAGCAGTAACAGGTCAGGTAATCACAGCCCCAGCCGTAACCCTGGACCTGCTCTCAAAACTGCTGGGCAAAATTATATCCTGCATTTTGGTCTTGCCTTGGGCACATCTGCATGCAAGAACCCTACAATGGTTTCTCCTGCCATATCACAGATCAGGCAGGAGCAATGCGAAGATAAAGGTGCAGGTCCCACCAAAAGTGAAGCAATCCCTCCAGCGGTGGAGGTCACAAGCCATAACCAAGGGCTGCAAATTCAAGGAGCCCAACCGCCTGATCATCACACCAGTTTGTTTGGCTGGGGTGCTCACTGCCACTCCCAAATCACACAGGGTCAGTGGTCCAGAGCAGACCTTAAAAACAACATCAACTGGCTGGACTCAGAGCGCTGCATCTGGCCATAAAAGAAATTCCAAGCAGATACAGAGGGGCCAACCCATCCTAATCCTGATGGACAACGTGGCCACCAAGGCCCACATCAACCAACAGGGGGGACACACTCCAGAACACTCATGTAAGAAGCAGTAAGCTTAGGCTTCTGGGCCGAGAAGCACCTCCTATCGATCAGAGCAGAACACATCTCAGGAACAACAAATGTGCAGGCAGATTGGCTCAGCAGAACAATAGTCAACCACTCAGAGTGGCGCCTGCACCCAGATCTGATCAAGGAAATGACAACCAGATTTGGGAATCCATCCCTGGATTTATTTACGTCCCCAATGAACACACAATTGCCGAGGTTCTATTCAAGATTCCTGACACTGGGGGCAGAAAGAGCCAACACTCTCCATGTAGCGTGACCCAGGGGACTCCTGTATGCCTTTCCTCCACTTCCATTAATTCTGAGGGTGATCAAAAAAGTGATAGAGGAGAAGGTGGAAATCCTATTCATATCGCCTCACTTTTCCAGAAGGCCATGGTACGCAGACCTGGTCAACCTATTGATAACCAGGCCACGGAGAATACTCCCAGACAGGGTCGCCCTTACCCAGAGGGCCTTACTGCATCCAGAACCGCAATGGCTCCAACTGACCGTCTGACACTTGAGCAGAATACACTGAATCAACTCAAATGCTCCACCAAGATCATACAGACGCTCTAGAAATCTAGGAGGTTGTCAACCAACAGGATTTATGACGCCATTTGGAGGACCTTCTGTGGCTGGTGCTCCAAAGCACATATTGATCCAACCACAGTGTCAGTAACACAGGTACTAGATTTCCTTCAGGAGGGAATGGATAAAGGGCTGTCCCCCAATACCTTACGTAAACAGGTAGCGTCAATAGCATCAGTCTTGGGCTGCAGGACCCTAGAGTCTCTAACCCAACACCCATTTGTGCACACCTTCATCAGAGGGGCAACCAACTTAAAGCTGCCGGTAATCCACAGGTATCTCACCTGGGACCTAACCAAGATCCTGAGAATGCTCATGATAGAGCTGTTCGAGCCACTACGTTCTGCCAGCTTACGTTTTCTCACCCTTAAGATGGTATTTCTTATGGCCATTACCTCAGCCAGACGGATATCCGAACTGGCAACTCTCTCCATAAGGGAGGGCCTTTGCATAATACACCCAAACAGGGTGGTGTTACGGCTGGATCCCACCTTTCTCCTGAAGGTGAATTCCACCTTCCACAGGGCCCAAGAAATAGTACTGCCAGACTTCTGTCTGAGACCAGTCCAGGAATTGGAAAAGAAATGGCATTCTTTAGATGTCAGTAGGGCCATATGCATCTATCTAAAGAGAACAGCCACTATTAGGAAAACAGAATCAATGTTTGTGTCAATCAAACCTAATTCTTTGGGCCACAAGGTTTCATCATTGACCATGGGTCAGTGGATTCGGGCATGCATCACAAAGACTTACGAACTCCAGTCTTTGCCACTGCCTGGCCGAGTGACAGCCCATTCAACTTGGAGTGCAGCCAGAATGGCAGCATGGAACACACAAGCCACTATTGAAGACATCTGCAGGGCAGCAACATGGTCTTCACTGTCCCCATTCATCAGGCACTACAAAGTGGATGCATTCGCATCAGCGGAGGCGGCCTTTGGCAGAAGAATACTTCAAAGAGTGCATACGGAGGTGGGACTCAGAACCAGACTACTACCCATCTTTAGGACAGCCAGCTTTGGTATGGCCAACACTTTGGATCCTCCGTTCAGTGCAACAGAGAAAGAGCGTTGTCTTACCTGAAGCACATATCTCATTGTGCTGAAGGAAGATCCAAACCCACCCTGGCAACCATCAGGTCCTGAGCCCAGGAGTAACCAGAAAGAGCACCAAAAACATCCTCCTTCAGTGCAGTGAGAATATGCATTTCAGGTAAGACAATGCTTTTTTTGCTTTTTATATTTGTCTTGCAGTTTGACAACTACACTACACTATTCGCTACATGGGGTTGACATTGAATACCACTTAGACACTTCAACCAGAACATAGTGACACAGGCCGCAACAGGCATGCCTTAGTGTGCCATGTAACACCTTTACAAGCTGCATTGGTTGCCATTTGCTTCTGGGTGCAATTCAAGGTTCTGATACTAACCTGTGAAACCATACATGGCATAGGGCCTGGCTACATGAGGGATCGCCTCTCTCCCATAACATCGGTCTGGACAACTTCATCCAGCTGGGTTGGTGCACTGTTGGTTCCTTCAGTTAAACAATGTCTCTGCTCAAGACTGTAATAGCACCTGCCCTCTGGAATGAGGTCATTCCCACCCCCCCACCCCAGATCTGGATACCCCCATTCCGTGAAGCTTTTCACCCAGGCCTTTGGCAAGGGGCAGGGAAATCTTCATAGTCACATTCAGGTGCTTGGCAGCCCACCCACATTTATAATTTCAGCATGTGCTTCAACTGCCCACATACACACACCTCTATCGTTTTGGCTGCCTTGCATTCTGCCACCAAAGGCTTATGAATGGCCAGCAGCTACCTTGGCCAGATAGTCCTTGTTAGTGGCAGGAGAAAGAGATGGAGAAGATCAGTTGGGGGTAGCAGGGCTAGGTATCCGGAGCGGAGTGCAGAATGTTCAATGGGCAGAAATGGGAGGGGGGGTAGGTGAGGGCAATTAAAGCAGAAGCAAGCATGACATGGTGATGGAGCCTTAGGGTGGGGATGAGGCACTGGCCTAACAGCTGCAATCTAGATTACCAGGTCAACCATTGCTAAACTTGCAGCAATCATGTGATGTTTTGCTTAACAACCACTTGGCCTTGCAAGGGAAGTTCCAGTCCTAGTTAGGCCCCTTCACTTTTGACAGAAGTTGCCATCCCAAGAATACCTGTATGTATCCATATACCTAGCCATTTGGAGGAGAATCAGGTGATCTATCCTGAGAGGGTTTCAAAGTGGAGTTCCTACCAAAAAGCCCTGTGCCTTCGCTCCTTTATTCTCTGCTTTAGCAAATAGAAAATCATAAAGATTCCTGAAAACTAAAAATGGAGAAGGAGCGTTTTAGACATTGCAACAACTTGGAATTGCATCTCACTTTACAGACCCCTCACATCCCAGAAATAAACTGTTTCAACTCCTACCCTCAAAACGATGCTATAGAACACTGCACACCAGAACAACTAGACACAAGGACAGTTTTTCCCGAACACCATCAAATTATTTGCTAAACAAATAATTCCCTCAACCTTGTCCAACTATTTACAGAGTCTGCACTACTATTACTATTAATCTTCTTATCACTCCTTATTGTATGACTAACTTTTTCGTTTGTATCCTTACGATTCATATGGACTGTTTCCTAGTATGATTTGATTGCTTATTGTACCCTATAACTATCATTAAGTGTTATACCTGGTGATTCTTGACTCTTCATGAATGTATCTTTTCCTGAGAGCATTGGCACCAAGACAAATTCTTTGTGTCTCCAATCGCACTTGGCCAATAAAAGAATTCTAGTTCTAATTCTTTTAAAAATGTATAGAGGATCTCAGAAGAGCCTTATGTTTTTTGATATTGAGCATATTAAAATTAAAAGTGAATATTGTGGAATATTTATTGAATTATTGAAAAATAACAGTTAATCCCATTAGAAATCAGCATAAATAAAATAATTTTCATAAAATTCTACTTTTTTTAACAAATGACATTGTTTTAAATTTTTGCAATTTTTTAACTTCTGGCAACTGATTTTGTGGACCCCTGCAAGGGTTTGGGGGGTTCCCACAGGGGTCTTCAGACTACACTGTAAGAAAATCTGGTTTAAAGTAACAATTCAAGATACAGCTTCTTTCACTAATAGCTTTGAATCAAACTCTTGTTCTAAGGGCATATTTTAATCTAATAGTTCTTTTGGTTTTAGGGCAACTTTTTACTTGTTTTTTTATATAAAATACTTATTCATATATCTTGGGTACCATCCTCTTTAAGTACATATCATGATAATATGTTACAGTGTACATACCAGTAATAATTATGAATTATATCTATGTTCTCATCTTTGAGAAAGATAACCAAGCAAACTGTTAGCTGTCTAGTCTCTTCCACAATATTCCTTTCATAAGAGCTTGAAGACCTGGCTCTGCCAATTGGTCTGAGGACCCTAGGGAGGAGTACCACACTGGAGTTGGCTACTAGATTGCTAGCAAACCCCCCTCGCTAACCCATCTTTCATTCTCATATCACTGTATTTTCAGTGTTTTCTTTTTCATTGTTTATTCTATCATTCTGTTTGTTTGCTACTTTCATCTTTAAACTTCTTTTCATTTCTATTTTTATTGTTGTAAGCTGCCTATAATAGCCCCACCCTAGGCAAGCTTACAACAGGTTGGCAATAAATCAGTTTATCAAATAAACATTAAAAAGTATTTCTTATACATTCAATGGCAAAATGGTTCAAAGAAGAAGCCATATGAATGGTTTTATAGTTGTATTGTCAGGTGCAGAGAAAACCTTTTATATAACCATCTCCTTTCTTTCCAGACTCAGTTTCTGATCCAGGAGTGTGCATCATTGATTACAAAGCCAAACTTCATTTCAACACTGTCCTATGCTATTGAAAATCCATTGCATTATCAAAAGGTTTGTATAAACAAGTCAGAATTTGTTGCACTGTTCAGCCAGTGTTGCCTAATTTATGATTGCAAACATTATTTTAGCCCTTCAAGAATGTTTTAAGATTGTGAGATATTGAAACCTTAATTTGTGCATATCAGACTCAAGCAGCAATGAATTAAAGTATAAAAATCAAATGTAAAAATGTAGCTAGGAGAAGCAACTTTAAAACAGATTACAGGAGATTCTCCCATTTTAAGATTGGTATGCCACAGTCGTTTGTTTATGCAATATCAACTTCATAGAAAGACTAAGATAAAAATGATTGTAGTTAATCAGCATCACAGGAAAGTTGTGTTAATCTATAATAACCAAAAATCAAGAGGAAAGTAGTAGTAGTTTCTGATTAACACATTTTATTAAAAGACATGAGTTTTTGTGTACTGCAACTCACTTCATCAGATGTAAAAAGTATTTGGATTGACAAAGGATTTATATTGGAATTGGGGAGAAGGGAGGGGAAAATTTCAGCCAACCTCAGAAAGTTGTAACTGAGTTTTTAGCATATTACAGGTGCTGATTGATAAGTTACTTCTCATCCATTTCACACATAATCTATCTGCATAACCGCCTTGCCAACCCTCCCATTCCCTCCACCTCATCCAATCTAAATCTTAACTCAGTCCAGTTGTTTTGCGTATCTAAGCTTATGGAAACCCCAGGCTTTTAATAAAATGTATTAGTAGGAAATGTTAATGTGAGGCTTCAGAGACTTGATTGGATGAAATAGGAAGGATAATCATTTATAACTGAGATATTCTTAATAAATGTGAGCTTTCTTTTTCAGTAGGGGTTGCTCAGCATCCTTATATAAATGTTGAAGAACTGGGGAGGGGGACAATCTGAAAATCTTCAGTATCCCATGATTAAACTATGAGTATAATTGTGTTTGTTCTCTGTGAAGTAGGAATAAGTCAGCAGAATGTTGTGAGTTGTTTTCTGATTCAGTCTTGATTTTCCATGGGTTAATGCAGTCCTAAGAGCCAGTTTGGTATAGTGGTTAAAGCACCAGTCTAGAAACAGAGATGGTGAGCTCTACTTCCCCTTGGGACAAAACCAACTGGGTGACCTTGGACCAGTCATTCTGCTTCAGTCCTAAGAAGCTGGCAGTGGCAAATCACTTCCCCAAAAATTTCTGATAAAGCTGCAGGGATTTGGAAGCTGTCAGGAGTCAGTGTTGACTTGAAAACATGCATGCATGGATGTGTGTGTGTGTGCACATACACACAATTAAAAATCTAGACATAAACGTTTTCAGTCACAGAAGAACTGAGATCATTCTCTCTCATCTAAGTGGGTGGTTTACAATGGTGGTTGACATTCTGTGATCTCAGTGGCTGGACTTTATCATCTTAATAGGATCAAGAATATTAGGCATTTACAAAAGTTGGTTGTATAGTAAAACATCAATGCAAAATGTAAAATGTAATAAATATTGAGTATTGATTTCAAACTCCTATCATGTTTGTCAGAGCTGTTATAAGCATACTCGGCATGCAGAGTTAAGGTGCATCAAGTTCCTGAATTCAGTAGTTCTCTTCCTTCCAAAAACCGATAATGAACATTCAATTTTTAAAATATAGGTACTATAGTCCTCACTTGTTTAGTGGCCATTCAAAGTTTCAGTGGCACTGAAAAAAGTGACTTAGGATTGGTTTTCACACTTACAACTGTTGCAGCATTCGCAAGGTCACATGATCAAAATTCAGACACTTTGCAACTGGCATGCATTATGACAATTACACTATCCCGAAGACCTGGGATCATAACATGGCTTCCAACAAGCAAAGCCAGTGAAGGAAGTCAGATTCACTTATTCACTTCACCTTGCTAAGCAAGGTGGTTACTTTGCTTAGCAACAGAAATGTTGGGCTCCGTTATGGTTGTAGAATGGAGACTTCCTCTGAAGCATTGACCAAATATTGCCCAACAAAAATAAGCATCCGATTTGTGAAGTGCAGGTGTGCTGTTTGATAAAAGGAGACTATTTGATACCACAATTTTTCAAACCAAGATGCTTATAGTGGTAAAACCAAGACTTATTATGTTGGCTTGGGGAAATGCTGGAAATTGTGGCTTCATGAATCTGAATTATACTGAGAATCCTGTTTTTGTCTTCAGTGTTGTTTAGAAGTTTGTTATTGGGCTGCTTTTTTTGCTTTCATAATTTTTGTCTCTTCTATTAAAATTGTGTACAACATTCTTGTTTCTTTCAGAGTCTTAAGCCATCACCCCATCTATTCACCCAGCTGAGCAAAGTGATCAAATTAAGCAAAGTTCAAGAGGTGGGCTTTCTATTCTATTATGCTCTCAGCATCTTGGGGGGTGGGAGGGGAGCATCCGCATATTGATGGAGTCATAGAAATGCCCCAGCTAGTATACTTCTCTTAGCCTTGATAAATAAGTAGGAGACAATCACCAGCAGATCCTCCACTTTTACCCTCTACTTCCTGACTGTTGTAATATTTGTTATTACTGTACTTCAGAATGCCATGACCATCACCCTTGTAATCTTGATCCGCTGGACGGATGGCAGGTTCTATTGGGCATAATGGGGAGGGCTACAAAAGTGGGACATTAGAGCAACAGTATTCAATCTTTGCTCTGTCTGGTTGCCAACCCCGGTTTGTCATTAGAAGCATGAAGTGGGAAGGAAGCCTCCCGATCTAGCCTCTTGCTCAATGCAGGAATTCAAATTAAAGCATCCCAAGCAGAAGACATGCAGTAATGGGAGTTCATTCCCTTTCTGGTTTCACTGTCAGATTGTTCTTATGATTCAGAATTTTTCCAAAACTTAATTGGAATCTCTTTGCAACATTATACCCATTACTCTATGCACTCTGATTTTGATACAGAATTGCCCATGTTTCTCTTCTGTGGGATCATCTTTCAGGAATTTTAGTAGTGCTATCATATTCCCCCCCCCCCCCCCATTTTCTTAAGAGTAAGCATACCCAGGTTTGATGGTACTGAATTATAATACATTAACTTTTAACTTCTCTTTATTAATAGGTTATTTTTGGCCTTGCTTTGTTGAACTCTTTCAATCCTGATCTACAAGTTTTTGGTAAGATATTTTAAATGGTAACTGGGTAGGAAGCTTCTTTCTGAATTTTTAACATAGTAGTTTTATTAGCACAACATACTGTTACTTTAGCCATTATTGTAGTTCACCATTTTTATATTCACATAATACAGAGAACAAACTAAACCACAAAAATAATTAAATCTAGTCCTAACATGTTATGTATATGGAACCGTAAGATATATGTCAATGTCATTTTATCCTTGTATCTGTAGAAAGTGAAATGTGGAATTTTAAAAACCTGTACTGATTGCTGAATTGCAGAAAAAAATCTCTTCCCCAAGGCATGCTGAGATATGAGATTAATTGGAAAGCACTTACTAACTCACTATTCCTAACTGTCCTATTTTACCTTTAGTAGGTGTTTCTATAATATAATGTCTGTACTGGTAGTCCTCAGCTAACAAGGGCAACTGGAACTGGAATTGCTATTGCTAAGTAACATACCCATAAAGCATGAGGTTATGTGGTGGTGCTTAGTAATGCTAATTACCATCCTTAAGCAAATTATTGTGGGTCATTGAGCAAGGACTTCATATGATTGCCATTTCTGATCTCTTGTTAGTGTCCCCATTGATTTTGCTTGTCAGAAGCCAGCAAAGAAGGTTACAAATGGCAACATGTGCCTGGCATGGGATGCTGCAGTGGCCAGATTTCTAAGGACCAGTGTATACAAGAATCTCTTGTATCATTTACTAGAAGGCAGTTTTAGAGATACCCCCAAAGCAATTGACTAGCATGCTAACAGTTTCTTCCCCCTTTTTTATAGGATACCCCTTTGAATTTAATGTCTAAACAAAATTCTGAACTTCAGACGATGTTATGTTTGTAGGAAGGGTCATGCTGAGTGATTCTTTGATATGGAGCTCTTTTGTAAGATAATCTAAACAATGCACATGCATTCCTTTTAAATCACAAGAAAAAACATTTTGTGCTTATTCCTAAAACAATCGTTAATTGCGGTCTGTCTTTTTTTTCTTCTTTCAAGCTGCTCAGTTTATTAAACAGAAGCTTCCTGATCTTCTGCGCTCATATATTGACGCAGACGTCAGTGGTAATCAAGAAGGTGGCTTCCAAGATATTGCAATAGAAGTCTTGCACCTCCTCCTCTCCCATCTACTTTTTGGGCAGAAGGGAGCCTTTGGGGTTGGACAGGAACAAATCGAGGCTTTCCTCAAAACATTGCGCAGAGGTAAGTTATACCCATCATGTGTCTCTTTGAAGCCCACTTCTAAAGAGCCTTGCAGGAAGTAAATTAAGTGGAGTTCTCTGAGTTATTGTATCCCTGGCATGATTATACTTGTTGATGACCTCAGTTGGGGACAGGGGAAGCAGTGGATCCATGTTGATCTGTCGATATATCAGTGGCTTCTGATACAATCCCATTATTGTTAGCCCTACAAGATAGATGAGACCAAGAAAGAAATAACGTGGGTCTAAAGCTTTTTTTTAAATAAAACAGCTATAGTAACAGAACCTTCCATGTCTGAATGTGCTTCCCTTTTTTAATCTTCCTGTGAATTGGGGGTTGTGGCAGTCCCTCCAAGTTGCTTGCATAAATCACTTAGGATTTACTGGAAGAATATGGCCCACCACCTGATCTACTTTGGCCTGCAGTGGTCTTAAAAAAGAATTCAAGTTTGTCATTCTATCTCTGGACTCATGTAGAACCACGTTATTTTAATAAGTTGTAACAATCTGGCTGGGGTTTCTCTTCCCCCCCTTTCCCCCTCTCCTAATAAAATTAGTAAATCCCAACCATAACACATAGAATGAAGAAGACAATCAACAATTAATTGCTTAATAGCATGATTTAGAATAAAAAACAGAAGTGATAAAGGAACCTGTTTTTATGTATGTGCCCATTGTGAATGCTAAGCTTTCTTTCATCCCTAGATTTCCCTCAGGAGCGTTGCCCTGTGGTGCTTGCACCACTCCTATACCCTGAAAAACGGGACATTCTAATGGACAGGATCCTGCCTGACTCTGGAGGGATAGCAAAAACCATGATGGAGAGTTCTCTTGCAGACTTTATGCAGGAAGTTGGCTATGGCTTTTGTACAAGGTATGTAGGTGGGAGTTTCACTGAATTATTCAAAGTGTTTTTCAAAATGAAAGAAAGGTAATTTAAATATTGGGAGATACAACATTGTAGTAGAATGCCAAACTTGCACAATATTGATGTGAAATAAATATAGAATTTAATGCTCTATCTAGAACTTCCATGTGATAGTTCTTTTGCTTAGTAATCTTGGCCTTTGAGATTTGAGGAGGATACCTGGATCTTTCCCACCCAAGCCAAGAAGCAACCAATTGCTCTACTTTAAAATAGTTATTTAACCACTGCTTTGTGCTATTTAAATCTCCGAAGATTGCTCCACCTGTCTGTTATTCCCAAAATCTGACTGCGGGTTTCATATTGGAGCCCAATGTTTACCCAAAAAGAAAGTGCTTGAAATATTGCTTCAAGCAAGAATCCAAAAGTCCCCAGGGAATTGCAGAGTGAGGTGTCTGAAGCTCTAATTGGACATAAATAGACCATGCCTTATCCTGAATCTTCCATGAAGATGGGGCAGAAATGTTTATCTCTGGACACATAAAGTCTTGAGTAACTGATATATTTTTGGGAAGGCCCTCTTTTTGGAAAGATATTCAGGTTACTCAGTTATTCATTCATCTCAATTTTGGACCTAAAGTCATCTTAAGTCCAGCCAGAATTATAATTGATTAAAAAGGCCTGATGAGAGAATTTCAGAACCTTTGAGGATTACTGGAGAAAAGGCCTGCTTATGTATCTGTCACTTATATCTCAGCACATGAGGACACCTTCTTTAACAGTCCATAGGCTCAGGTGAGAATCTTGAAGGAGAGGTGTTCTTTCAGGTATGGTGGCCTAGTGTTGGGGAAACAGAGGGAGAGGTGAAAAGAGAGATCAAGCTAGAATCACTACCTATCCACAAGTGAACTGCAGTGGTACATTGGTGCTCATCGCTAATTTGTTCTGGGAGAAGCGACAAGTACTAAAAATGAGTACTGAGGAAATTATGTGACTTATCACGTGACCCTTTATTTCGGCTGGAAAGAGTAGCAGGTCATGAGGCAACTGATGCTAGCAAGTTATATTTTATGTGTTGAGTCCAGAAGAAAAGTACCAGGACAAGATTTTTGCTTCAAAACGCATTGAGTACCGAAAGTGGACGAGTTTTGAAGCAGTTGCATACCGAGGTATGACTGTAAATCCAACCCCCCTTGATTGCTATTGACCCATAACTAACTTTAACCAGGTGCTGATCATTAGTTGAGAAGATTCCAGTGCAGAAGGTTTTAGCAATAAGTCAGTTAAATTCGTGCCTGACACCTAGAGAGCCTTTTCATTTAATATATATAAGTCAGTTAATGTTCTCCAGGGTTTCCAAAGGGACAGAGTCCAATGTGAAAGACTAGCTTCTTGGACATTTTTACATAACTTGTCTACATTATAGTCTTTTGGAATTAAGTGAAAACCTTTTATTTTCAAACAATTTAAATAAATAATTTTAGAATTATTTTTATTTCTGAGATCTTCAAATTATTATGCATTTGCTGCTTGTATAAGCCGCCATTGTTGTCTTAGAGTTACTTAATATGTAAGAAGAGAGCTTCATTAATTGGGCAATGTAATATTTTTAATAAAACAAACATTATCTTTCATAGCGTGGAAGAATGTCGCAGTATCATCACACAATTTGGTGTTGGGGAGGTTACAGCTGCCCAGGTTGCCAGGGTTTTGGGAATGATGGCTCGCACACACTCTGGATTGACAGATGGCATTCCATTACAGGTTTGTATTTAAAAGGGGCTTTAAAGATAAAGGTTCCCCTGCACGTGCATGCTAGTCATTTCCGGTTCTATGGAGGGTGCTCATCTCCGTTTCTAAGCCGAAGAACTGTCTGAAGATGTCTCCGTGGTCATGTGGCCTGCATGATTAAACACTGAAGTTGCACGGAGTGCTTGTTACCTACCCACCAAAGTGGTCCCTATTTTTCTACTCGCATTTTTTACATGCTTTCGAACTGCTAGGTTGGCAGAAGCTGGGACAAGTAATGGGAGTTCACTGTTAGGTGGCGCTAGGGATTCAAACCGCTGAACTGCCAACCTTCTGATCGACAAGCTCAGCATCTTAGCTATTGACCCACCGTGTCCCTAAAAGAGGTTTTAGAACTGTCAAAAATCAGGTTTTTTTCTGGAGAACACGCCATTTCTTTGATAGCACAATCTGTCGTGGTCACTATTGAAAGTCCACATAAGACATTTATCAGAAGGCAAACTGGTGAGGTTGCTCCTTGTACTGGTTCATCATTGCCTTTTTTTCTGGATAGGCGAACATACCATTGAACAAATCTCTGAACTGTGGTCATCTGCCTTTTTATTTTCTATCTAGGTCCAGGAGTATCTTTGGAAATAAGGATGGTTTGGGTGGTTCTGTTTTACCTTGTTAAAAATGAAAAGGGAAATAGTAGTCTTCATTTAGTGGCAATTTGTAGTTGCAACAGTGATGAAAAAGAAACTTTACAACCAATCTTTGCATATAGAACCTTTACAGCTCTATAAGGTCAAAAGTTACTGTTTTGTTTAATAACCAAGTTGCCAGTCCACTGTTTGATCACTAAACAAGGACTGCCTGTATTTAAGAAATGGGGATAGGGGTCTTGGTGGGCATTAAGCAAAATGTCCCTGGGTGTGAGACTACATTACTCTATTATTAAGTGAAATAAATGATTAAAATTTTAATTGACTTTAAAGTCAGCTAGAAGGGAGCTGAAATTTTCTTTTTAAACACTGCCTGTTGAAATCGTCTGCAGTTTGTGCTTTCAACTTATTGATTATTTAAGTCTGTCTTGTAGTCATACAGAAGCAGCTTGTTGAATCAGTACTTGGAGATCTTGACAGCTTATTTCCCTGATTCAGCAGTTGCTGCTGGTGTTCTTGCTGCTGTCATTAATACAGGTGTTCTGACCTAGGCTTCCCCAAAAAGCACTAAGCAAACTCATTATCCCGGCAAAACCCCTTTTATTAACCTAAGATGAATTTCTTGCATTCACATTCAGCCAAAGGCCTGGCAAACACCTCTTTCGAGGGTGTAATTAGGAGCACAAACCTTATCTAGCTTGGAGAGCTGCCAAGGAAATATTTTCGCACAGAGTCTCTGAGGTGCACAGACAGATCTTCACACTGCTGCAACGAACGAACGAATTGTTTCCTGCAAAAGCCCCCTCCCCTTTTGCTCCTCTTTTAATCCCTATGGGAGGGATTAAAAGAGGAGCAAAAGGCCATTCACCTGTGGCCTTACTCCCACATCAACCCTTAGTTCGTAATTGTTCTTTTCTTTTGGCAGCTCTGCACATGCACAGGCTGGGAACCAGCTCCAGCTGCTCTCCCGCCTCACTGCTGTCCGACTCCAAAGGCAGCTGATAACTGCCAGCCTGTCCTGGCCCCATCTCTGCCTCTGATGCAGAGCCCTCCTCTGAGCCTTCCTCAGCCTCCAGGACTGGCCCATGTTCCTTCCCAACCTCCTCACTCTCTGACTCTGCTGCCAGCTCCACTAGTCACCGGCAGGCCACAACAGTGGGATGGTTTAGCAATATGAACTGAAGGCAGAAAAGGCAGTGTATTGGGACAGAATACTAATCACAGATTGCACTGGAACATCCAAGGGTACTTTTCCCTAGAAAGTTTATCAATTAGCTGAGAAAGACTTACTAAAATATGTGGCATGATTTGTCAGGATAATAAATCTAAAACTGCAAAAAAAGGATAAAAAGCGGGTTGCTTTGCTACATGTTTTCGTATGCTTTGAAGGCTACCATGTGGGAGCTGGGAGACTGCATCCATCTGCATGACTTAAATATTTTACTTCATCTCCAGAATACATTCCTTCTCTAAAAATAGTATAAACATGCATCTACATGTTTCATTTGCAGTCTATTTCTGCCCCTGGAAGTGGAATTTGGAGTGATGGAAGAGATAAAAATGATGGAACACAGACTCATACATGGAATGTTGAAGTTTTGATTGATGTGCTTAAAGAACTGGTATGTTCATAAAATGAAATCCAAAAATGTATTTCTGGAATTAAGAAACTCAATGACTACTAGGGCTGCTGGTGGCCAAATGCTAAGACAAGACTTCCCTCAGATCCTCCCTCCTTTACATTCCCATCTCCTTCCTTCCACCAGGGTGCCAGACCCCGCGTGCTTTCCGCCTCCTGTGCATGCGTCCTGGCAGAGCACCCAGCCTGTGGGCTAAGGCAGCAGATGCTGGCCCATCACTGTCTCCAGGGAGGCCCTGCGTGCCAGATCTAACCACATCACAGGCCAGATTTGGCCCGCGGACCTTGAATTTGACATGTCTTATTTAGATGAAAGTTAGATGCATCTATTTATAAGATCAGAATATTGATCAAGGTACTTTTATAAGCAATCTCTTGATTATTAAGAGCAGGCAATAAAATGTAATTGAAAACAGGTAAAACTGTTTTTTTCTGCATTTCCAATTTATTGAGGGAAGTCTTAACTGTCATAGGAGTTAGTAGAAAGTGTACTTTTAATTCAGAATACATGATGCTTTTGTCAGTACAAAGGCTTGAATGCATTAAAGAGCTCATTATGCTAAGACCTGTACATAATTAAAGTTACAAATATTTTTAATAGTATAATTTAATCTAGCCTATATTTTGCCATTTCTCTAGCTAGAGATTTTTTTTTCTTCTGTCACCATTCCCATCCTCCATGATTTCTCAAGTATTAGAGAAAAGTCCCAAAGGTACTTTTTCTTTCTTTTTTTAAATATATTTCTATTATACATTTTCTTTAATATACATAACTATTCATAATTATACAACATCATTGTGTACTAGATACATCAAGTCCCTTTTTCCCTTTCCATCGTTATACATCCTCGCTAAAACTATCATATCGTATAATCCAGTGATCCCCAACCTTTTTTATGCCGCGGCCCGGTACCAGCATCAGCTGGGCGCCGCCATCTTTTTTTGATGAAAAAGTGCTTCCGGTGAGCTTTCTACCCGGAAAAGCTCACCGGAAGCACTTTTTCATCAAAAAAAGATGGCGGCGCCCAGCAACCAGCGGCCCGGTAGGACTTGTTCCGCGGACCGGTACCGGTCCGCGGACCGGTGGTTGGGGACCCCTGGTATAATCCCTCCATCATACCATATTATACATACAAATGATATCTATTATTTGTTTGTTTCCATCATAATATACTATTCCAATCCTCACTTTATGCATTACATGTTCTCTTCATGTACAATTCAAATATATTCATTTTTACATTATTTATTCTTACATCTTCCTTTATCCCTGAATAAAAGTAATTTTGTTAATCTTCTTTCCTTATTTAACACTAATATCTGCAAGTACCATTGTAAGTCTGACCATCTCGGCATGCTATAGTATCTTTTTTATTACTTCCTCCTCTGTAGGTGTCCTTTCACTTTTCCACTTTTGTGCGTATAGGATTATAGCTGCATTAATATATGAATGATTAAATAAATAAGTCTTTTATCGTATTTCCCTGCTATTATCCATAATAAAAATAGTTCTGGTTTCATATCTGTTTTGTTGTTTCAACATTTCTTCTAACCAATTCCTTATATTCAGCCAGTATTTTTTCACCACCGGACATTTCCACCATATGTTATAGTAGGATCCCCATTTTCTTTGCATTTCCAACATTCAAGTGATATATTAGGGAACATTTTTGCCAATCTTGCAGGTGGCAAATGCCATCTGTAAAACATTTTGTATGAATTCTCTTTGTATGCTTCTGATAATGTTAGTTTATGGTTTCTCTCCCATAATTTTTGCCATTTATCCAATTCTATGGAGTATTCCAAATTCTTCGCCCGAACAATCATCATTTCTTTTTACATATTCTTCTTCCATGCTGACGTTCATTAAATAGTTATACATTTTCTTTATTAATTTTACATCTGGTCCTAACATTATTTTATCCAAGTCTTGGGGTTCCTTATATAATCCATACATTTCTCAATCTTTCTTGTATCTTGTTTGAATTTGAATAAGCGGCCACCAGTCTAGTTCTATTCCCTGTTTTTTTAGTTCCTGATTGGTTTTCAACACTCCCTGTTTGTTTAAAATGTCTTTGTATCTTAAAATCTTATCTGGGTCTAAAACATTGGGATATACACTGCTCAAAAAAATAAAGGGAACACTTAAGCAACACAATGTAACTCCAAGTCAATCACACTTCTTTGAAATCAAACTGTCCACTTAGGTAGCAACACTGATTGACAATCAATTTCACATGCTGTTGTGCAAATGGAATAGACAACAGGTGGAAAGCATAGGCAGTTAGCAAGACATCCCCAATAAAGGAGTGGTTCTGCATGTGGTGACCACAGACCTCTTCTCAGTTCCTGTGCTTTCTGGCTGATGGTTTCGTCACTTTTGAATGCTGGCGGTGCTTTCACTCTAGCAGTCGCATGAGACGGAGTCTACAACCCACACAAGTGGCTCAGGTAGTGCAGCTCATCCAGGATGGCACATCAATGCGAGCTGTGGCAAGAAGGTTTGCTGTGTCTGTCAGCATAGTGTCCAGAGCATGGAGGCGCTACCAGGAGACAGGCCAGTACATCAGGAGACATGGAGGCCGTAGGAGGGCAACAACCCAGCATCAGGACCGCTACCTCCACCTTTGTGCAAGGAGGGACAGGAAGACCACTGCCAGAGCCCTGCAAAATGACCTCCAGCGGGCCACAAATGTGCATGTGGCTGATCAAACAGTCAGAAACAGACTCCATGAGGGTGGTATGAGGGCCCGATGTCCACAGGTGGGGGTTGTGCCAACACCATGCAGGACATTTGGCATTTGCCAGAGAACACCAAGATTGGCAAATTCGCCACTGGCGCCCTGTGCTCTTCACAGATGAAAGCAGGTTTACACTGAGCACATGTGACAGATGTGACAGGGTCTGGAGACGCCGTGGAGAACGTTCTGCTGCCTGCAACATCCTCCAGCATGGTCGGTTTGTCAGTGGGTCAGTAATGGTGTGGGGTGGCATTTGTTTAGGGGGCTGCACAGCCCTCCATGTGCTCACCAGAGGTAGCCTGACTGCCATTAGGAACCGAGATGAGATCCTCAGACCCCTTGTGAGACCATATGCTGGTGCGGTTGGCCCTGGGTTCCTCCTAATGCAAGACAATGCTAGACCTCATGTGGCTGGAGTGTGTCAGCAGTTCCTGCAAGACGACAGCATTGATGCTATGGACTGGCCCGCCCGTTCCCCAGACCTGAATCCAATTGAGCACATCTGGGACATCATGTCTCGCTCCATCCATTAACGCCGCGTTACACCATAGACTGTCAAGGAGTTGGGGATGCTTTAGTCCAGGTGTGGGAGGCGATCCCTCAGGAGACCATCTGCCACCTCATCAGGAACAGGCCCAGGCGTTGTAGGGAGGTCATAGAGGCACGTGGAGGCCACACACACTACTGAGCCTCCTTTTGACTTGTTTTCAGGACATTACATCAAAGTTGGATCAGCCTGTAGTGTTTTTTTCCACTTTAATTCTGAGTGTAACTCCAAATCCAAACCTCCATGGGTTGCTAAATTTGATTTCCATTGATATTTTTTGTGTGATTTTATTGTCAGCACATTCAACTATGTAATGACCAAAGTATTTAATAAGAATATTTCATTCATTCAAATCTAGGATGTCTTATGTCAAGTGGTTGACATCTTATTTTTGTGTTCCCTTTATTTTTTTGAGCAGTGTATTAATGCTTCTATCATGGATAACCAGACCGGAATTTTCATGTAGTGGTTCTGTCTAACTTTTTCCCATACTGATATCACACCGTTTCTAATGTAATGTCTTTGAACATATCTCTGTGATTTATTTTTCCCGTCCCATAAGAATGCGTGCCATCCCAATTGCAGATCGTGTCCCTCTGTTGTTAACATTCTTTTATTTTTTTAATTTATCCATTCTTTTATTTTTTTAATTTATCCATTTAATTTATCCATTAGAATTGATGCCTGATAGTAAAGCTCCAAATGTGGAAGCCCAAACCCACCCTTGTTTTTGGAGTCTTGAAGCATTTCCCTTTTAATTCTAGGTTTTTTCTCTTGCCAGATGAATTTAGAAATCACTCTGTTTAGATCCTCACCATACCTTTTTCCTAATTTTATCAGGGTTGTTTGAAATAGAAATAGTAGTTTCAGTAAAATATTCATTTTTATTGTAAATATCCTTCCAACCAGAAATCGTCTTCTTTGATGGATATACATCTTGATGTTAACCAAATTCCCAAATATTTTACCTTTTCAATCAATTCATTTTTCTGTTTATAAGATTTTTTGTCAACATTTTGGTCTTTTCCTTATTTATTTTGAGTCCTGCCACTGTACCAAACTCTTCTATTTTCTTAATTAGTTTAGGTCCTGTTTCCAAAGGATCTTCCAAAATAAATACTAAATCATCCGCGAAAGCTTGTAATTTATAATGTTCTCTTTTTATTTGCAAACCTCTTAATTCTGGATCTTGCCTAATCAGTCTGAGCAGAACAACATTAATATGAATAGAAGGGGGGGGTAATGGGCACCCTTGTCTCGTACTTTTATTTATATTGAATTCCTCTGTTATTTCTCCATTTATTATAACTCTCGCTATTTGATTGGAATAGATTGATTTGATCATTTCTACAAAAAAATTACCAAAATTCATATTTTCCAATTGCTGTGGCATAAATTGCCAATCTATATTATTGAAAGCCTTTTGTGCATCAGTGCTAACTGCTTTTTGGAGTGAGTTTCATAGTATTCCTCATTATTTTTGAGTTGTCTTTTTGGTAAGAAGCCATTCTGGTCTGGATGGATAAATTCATTTAGAAATCTTTTAAATCTTTCCGAAATTATGGAGGCAAATATTTTATAATCTACATTTAATAGTGATATTGGCCTATAATTTTTTATTTGTTGAACATCTGAATCTTCCTTTGGAATTAGTGTGATATATGCCTCCATCCAGGTTTTAGGTAGTTTGGCCTG